GGGTTTAGGGTTTAGGGATGAGGACCCGTACTGTGAGAATACCACGTGCTGTGTGCAATGGTGCAGCCACGCCACCTGCGATGCCACTCTGACCGGCACGGGGACCGAAGCTCTTGCACGACGATCGTTTTGTAGTGCCCGAATTATGGGGACGCTTTTCAGAAGACAACCCCCTATGCCGGAATGAAGGAATTGCTATGCCATCGGAGGCCAACAGATTCTTGCTAGATTAGAGCTCTAGTAAAACCGCGGGCACATCAACACAGGGTTTCGTAGCCTGGAAACCCGACAGCTTCTAAGAACCCCTAAGCCCAGGCCTAGACTCTATCAAAGAAGCCGGCTTTACCTTCTGAGCAATGAGACCCTTTGCAAAAGTCCATGGCTCATAAACGCACGAATCGCTAGACACACCACTTGGCCTCCACGCACAATGGCACGATGCCTGTCGACTTGCTCATCCCAATGCCAGGCCCGACTTAGTAAGTAGGTTATAAGTAGNNCCCTAAATGGAGTTACCCCAATCATAACCCTACTTATAACCGACATACTATGTCGCCTGGGCCTCCAAGTAGAGACTGTCACACGTGGGCACCGGCATTGCAAAGCTGAGCAAGTCGCCATCGATTTCGAGACCTCGAGGGCTCTGTCCTGTCATTGGGCGCCTCACCCTAAACCCTAAACCCTAAACACTAAATTTCAGATACTGCCTCGCATGCTCCGAGTCTGATAGCCTTATGTGCTTCGGCTTATATTCGCGTTCATGCTCATGAACTTGATGGTTTTTCTGACGAAGTGATATGAATATGTTGATGGCGACGTGCAGATGATCTAGCTGTGGTTGCAGTCAGTCGCAGGTGAGTATCGATGTCAACATAGTAGCTCTAATTGTGTTCGGGTCTATATTTGGCTTTACTGATATCTTGATCGCATTTACTATGTTTACCCTCTTCGAAGTTTCACTGCAATCCAAGACCCTTTGTGCCATGCTTTTAAACCTGAACCCCGTAAGCCTGTAAGGCCAAAACAGCGCAAGTATCACATAACATAAGACCTGATACATACGGCCTGACAAAAACATGAGTTGAAGCTTCATAGCTCGATAACCGGGTATAGCCCTATAAGCCCCAAATCCCAATTTCTCACTCAGAACAGAGCCTTGCCAATGTGACCTGTGGCCCAGGGGCTGCGTGCTCAAGGAAGCCAGAGGAAAAACAGAGCCGAAGAGGGATGTGGAGGCTTTAAAACTTAGAAAGTTTAGGTTTCGGAACTTAAGGTGCTCTACGTAGATCTGTGATTAATGAACTCCGAGCCTTAAGACGTGGATCTCTCTTGTCGGCCTTGTGCAGGGGGCCCTACCAGTTAGTGATCAATTAAGGGTCTACGTTACGGTTTGATGTGTTGGAGTTTCAGGGTACCAAATTACGCTAAACCCTAAGTCCTAAACCTCGAACCAGAATTCGGAGCTCAGGAACCCTAAACCCTAAACCCTAAACCGAACCTCGGACCAGAATTCGGAGTTCAGGGCAGTGGGGTGGAGGCTGCTGGTCTTTAGCGGTAACGCTTTCGATTTCAGGGCTCAGGGTTTGGGGTTTAGGGCTTAGGGGCTGCGAATGGAGGGTCCACGCCGAGCTTTGTTGAATCATCAAACCTTAAACCCTAAACCCCAAACGCTAAATCCTACCAGAGCCCTGAAGCTCCTATACTTGTGGCAACGATCGTAGTACATCATAGTATAGTAACCCTAGACCCTATAAACCCTAAACCCTTACAAACCCCTCGGATCCCGAAACCCGAACCCCCCCCACCCTAAACCCTAAAAGCCCCACACCCTAAACCCTAAGACCCTAGACCCTAGCGCGAAACCCTAACAAACCCCAAAATCCCAAACCCCTAACACCCCAAAGCCCGAAACCCAAACCTTTTCATCCTTAATATAGGGGCCTAGATAATTACCTGTACTATTTTGGTTTTTCTTGTTATAAGTATAGTATATTGGGCCCAAGACCCTATGCCAACCATTCAGGCCCCTACATGAACCCTAAACCCCGAACCCTAAACCCTAAACCCAAAACCCTAAACCCTACGCCCTAAGCCCTAAACCCTAAACCCTGGCCCTGCATGAACCTGCTACAAGCCCCCTTTTTCAGGCCAAGCCTTCTTATCTCCCGAGGCTGAAGCCGCAAGAAGCACCCTCAAGATGTGTTTAGGGCTTCAGGGTTTAAGGTTTAGGGTTTAGGGATAAGGGTTTAGGGTTTCAAGTTTAGGGTTTAGGGTTTAGGGTTTCAGGTTTAGGTTTAGGGTTTAGGGTTTCAGGTTCAGGGCTTTGGGTTTCAGGTTTGGGGTTTAGGGTTTTGGGGTATGGTGTTTAGGCTTTAGAGACTAGGCTCTAGGGCTGGAGATTGGACGTGATCTGTAAGAGCCATCAATGCATGAACGTCTGGAGGTGCAATATACAGGCTGAATCTTACGTACTAATACTGCGATTCTAAGGGTTCATTAACTTTACCATAAAAAGGGTAGTTCTCAAAAATAGGATCCATTTTAGGGTCCTTTCTATAAGGGTGTCGTTCTATTTTTGGGACCTAAACAGAGACCGTAATTTAGAGAACTACGTACTCGTACTAAGTCCCCAAACCCTCTTCCAACTTGTAAGGCCCGAAACCCTAAACCCTAAATTCCTAAAATCCTAAAATCCTAAAACCCTAAACAATAAAACCTAAAGCTTAAACAATAAACCCTAAACCCTAAGCCCTAAACCCTGCAAACCCTAAGCCCTAAAACTTGTAAGGCCCCTCTTTAACCCTAAACCGTAAACCTAAACCCTAAACCCTAAACAATAAACCCTCAACCATCTAAACCCTAAGCCCTAAAACTTGTAAGGCCCCTCTGTAACCCGAAGCCCTACACCCTAAGCCCTAAACCCTGTAAACCCTAAACCCTGTAACCCGAAGCACGAGGTCGGGCCTTGTCGGAAAACCTGGAGCTCGGCGCGCAGCGCGCCGCTCGGCCTGAAAGTCTGCGGCGCCAGCGGCTTTGAGGGTTTAGGGTTTAGGGTTTAGGTTTAGGGTTTAGGGCTTAGGGTTTGGGGTTTAGGGAGGGAAGCAGAAATTATAAGGGTGCGTCAGACTCAAGGATTTCAATAGGGTTTTGGGGCGATGA